TGAATTGATAAATAAAAATTGCGTACAACATTTAAATCGTCCTGCGCGGTTGATCCGTCGCTTATCGATGCAAAGCCGCTCACGCATCCTAACCGACGAGCAATGCGCGGCGTATGTAACTCACTCTTATTTTCCCTGTTGCAGTGCAGTAAAAGGAAATTTTTTAGAAAGGAAACACAGTTTTAAATTGCCGGGGATTTACGCTATCGAATGATTCTTAATAATTTCAGGGAAAACTGTGTCCTGCGAGAATACTCGTGTATGAAACAATTTGACTTTTCCTTCTACGGTGCAATAAAAGGGCTTTTTGAAAGCAAAGACATCTGAAATTGTTGAGATTTACGCTATCGAATGATTACTAGTAGTCCGGGGGAAAAGTTTAGTCCAGCAAGAAAACACACGCGGTACGCGTGTCTTGTGTGAAGCGCACTTCAGTTCTTATTGTTGTACCGCTGTGAGAAGGTGTATTCTAAAAACAAATATGTTTTTGCATTCTCTGTAACTTGAGGCTTTTATTCATTACCAAAGTAAGTGGAAATTTATTGTTTAGCAAAAAAGGCCTCTTCAAAGAACCCTTTCCCAGTGCAGAAAGGAACCGCGCTTTCTGCTTTCTCTATTTTGGTGAGAGCATTCTCAAAATAGCCTGACAGGTTTTGACATAAAGGTGAAAGAGGTCAATAACCTGAAAATCTTTCCAAAGCCGATATAGGAATAATTACTCGAAGACGGCTGTGTCAATTACTTCTAATTTATCACAAAGTCAGCTAGATGGAGTTTTTATCGTTCAAATGATGGCAACACGATATAATTTTCTCTCACATGCAGGCACACCCACTCACTGATCTTGTTCTCAAATTATCTTCATGCCTTCAGGATGGACAAAATGGTAGGATGTCTGCCTGAGAGGACGTATCACTGATTTTAGACATCAGCAGGCTTCGCATATTAACTGCTCATACTAAAATGTTGATAGCACTAAAGGCAAGATGCATCCTTAAAGCATTGACCATTGTCAAACACTATGCCTTTCATCTCTCATTTCTTATGATCACTTCCAAACGGTATGTACATGTGGGTTCGATGAGGTAAAGAAAAGAACACCCTTTGTTAAATGTCTAGCACCGAGCAACGATAGTCGACGATCTCTTCAATTCTGGGTTTAACACTCCATTTACCACCAGTATGGATAAATCACGTAACCTAGCAACTGGCAGACTCAAGACTCTACGTATTGCAACGATTTTTTAAGGGCACTTAAGAATTTATACTTTTCTTCGAGAACACTGAGGAAATGCGAATAAGATTTCTATCGGTAAGTGAAAGCGAAAGTGGTCGCGAAGTTCTTGACGATCAACTTCAACGTTTTCTGTATTACAATTGATTATTTATTTATTCTCTGATTCTGAATAATTCAACTTTAACTCAAAACTGCTGCGGTTTATTTAGTACTTTGTGTAAGATCCACTTTGTGTTCCGTTTATATCTACACTATTCTCGGTTACTGTACAACTTTGCTTATAACTTTAAAGGAGAGGTGATCAAAAATTGACAATTTTGCCACGGTATTCTAGTATGACGGAGCAGGCAGCGCAATGGTAGTGATGCTGCTCATTCGAGCGCGATGCTGGTTCTACTCCATAACGGGCACATTAGCTCTCTCTCTCTTCCAGGGGGTGAAAATCACTGCCACATCTGTTTGAGAGAGCTCACTGTGTCCAATTGGAGGGGTCTAGACAACGGGAATCAACTCGATTATCATTCGATGTCGTTGATGACAGGACGAGAATCTCCTAGCATCAGCCAAATCTACACGTCGGAGCTGAGAAGCTGAATAGTCTTCGTGGTTGAAGGATGCGAGGAAGCGAATTTAATGCAAGAAGAGAGAAAGTGTCGTGAAAATAAATATATGGTGATAAGTGATGATTTCCAAGATCGACTATTTGTTAACCTTGGCATTCTTCATCAAATTTTTGTTTTCTTTCTGAGCCAAACACGAAGTACAATCACCCGATAATGTACTTCGAAACAAAATTTGCAGCGAAAGCAAGGTCCTTTTTATCGTGCCATTTGCTTGAATGAAATTAGTTTGGCTATCAAACTCTGTTTCAAAGAAGCAGGCTTGGAGAATCCGATTACAATGATTGTGATACTACCAAGTACTCTAGGAATAAAGCTAGTTTAAGCTGCTTTTATGACCGTCTATGTATAGCGCAAGAAAGCATTATGTCCAGAATGATAAAGACGGTGATGATATGAGTACGGGTATAGTTTATCTAGTCTCTTCAAAGCATGCAGCGACAAGTACATGGGCGAAACGGGCAGGCCGCTCTGCGTCCGCATGACGGAACACTTAGTCGACAAGCCCTAATACTAAACCACATACTCCATTAGGCTCGCATAGGTCACAGAGACATAATGGGAGGTTTTTGAAGTAGATGTCACCATTATCGCGAAGACACATCAGCTCTCAGAGCGTAAGGTTTTGGAAAGCGCTTTGGATAGACTTCATCAATCTAGTCATCAACCTCAGGAGAAGATTGCCTCGTAATCAGACGAGATCTGACACAGTAAAGAAGATGTTATTTTGATGAGGGAGGTGCATTATGGTCAGTCTATATGATAGCTGCACGGTTAGAATCTAGTTGGACAACTCAGTGGAAACTCATAAAATGTGGCGAGTATATTGAAAGTTATTTTCCTTCATGCAAATATTTTCTAGGTTTGTTGATTTTTTTTCCGGTTTGAGTGGTGGCGATGTTTGACTAATTGGATTGTGAGTTACATAATCTTTCCAATCTCTGAAGAAAGCGAAACCGCCGAACGTCAGCTGTTAGAAAATATTATTAATCAAATTTTATATTGGGCTCAAAAAGAAAAGAACGCTGAATAATAACGATATGATAGGGATCTAGTAATGTTAGAATTAAAGAAATATTGTAATAGATTCGTTATTATTAATCGTTCTTCAGTCCATGGAAAGATATGCCTTTTTCTTTTCTCCAGGCTTCTAGTGATCTCCTACTGCAAATGTTAGCTATATTAATACTGTATTTGTTTTTCTGACAAGGCCTTTATTTTGCTTTGTAGCAGCGAAAATGAAATGTAGTTTCACACTCGGCGCATTATAGCGCATTTTTCACTGGACAAAGCTTCTCCCTCAGACTTTTAGTAGTCATTCGATGGTTTAATTTCGATTAATCCAGCACCGTTTTGTTTACTAAAAAAGTCTTTTTATAGCATTGTAAAGTCGAAATCAAAATAGAGTTACACTCAGCGTGCTTTTTCTCGGTTAGAGCTATGAACGACTCTGGGGATGGGAGTTCGCAGCACTCGCAACAAACGGCACCCAAGTGGATAGGGTGTGTGGATGGTTTTTCATTAGTTTTTTGATAGTTTTCAAGACATAGATTTGGATGATTCCGCGGATAGGTTTGTTTTTGAAAAAAGTCTTCATAGAATGCTGGACGAGCTCTAAGAAAATTACGTTTAACACTCATAGTCTTGGGTTGAGGAGCGGGTTCATCTGACAGCGTAAATAAAAAGTGGAAGCTGAGCTCATAGATCGATTGGAAAAAGTTTTATCCACAATACTAATACGGTAAACCTAGGATTCTTCTCAAGACAAAAGAGAAATCTTCAACTAAGTAACGGAAGTATGAAAATATGCACGATAATGAGCGCTAAGTGTAGACTCATTTTATTTTCACTGCCACAGCGCAGTCAAAGGTTATTTCCAGGAAATAACCGTAACGTTGGTATCACCGAGATTGAAGTTATCGAAATACCACCAAAGTATGATAAAAAAGCGGAAAAGGCATCATCCTTTAAGGAATCAAATAATGACCAGAGATAACGCAATAGTACCAAAACTCTTGAAAAGCTGTTTAACTCCTCGGAGACTCTGTCACGGTTTTGTAGAGATTTTCTCGAAAAATCGTTTCTACTTCAGACTTTCCTGCGACTCATCCTTTCAAATTCTTCCCTTTCTTTCGGGACTAGTTTTTTCATGTTTGGAGGAATTAATTAGTTTACCTGACAGATGCTTCTAACTATAGAACGATTTTCTTTGTTTTGCCAATTTAATTTCAAATGTATCCAACTATCGTTACTGCTTTTAGTTTTTTTTTTTCTTTATGTTTTCTTTTAATCACCTCACTGAAAAATTTATTCCTTTGGAAGGTTTTTATGCTTCTGATGATGATGACGGACTCACTACGTATTTGTGGACTTTAGAGAGACGAGTCGCAAGAAGAAATGGTTTATCGTTTGAAATGGTTTAAGAAGATTTGTAGTATTATTCCTACAAAATATTGTATATTTTAAAAAGTTTTCTTCAGCAGTTCGTGGGCTTTTTCCATTATTCATCTCACAAATTTCCGTCTTCTAGACAAAATTCGAGGTTCTGAAAGCGTTTTTTAATGCTTTCACACTTCTTATTTTATATGATATTTGATCTTAAGTCAGTCGACAACATAATCCAACACCTCTCTTCATTCAATTTGCTTTCCCGCACCCGTTATTCACGATGGTCTTTGAATTTGCACGTAGATTCGGCTGCTGACTAAGGAATTTTGGTCTTTTAAATGTTGTTGATTGCTGCTCGAGAGTAGTTTACATAAATTTTGGGATGACCGTTCATTTTAAGATGTTCGCAAATCTTCGCCACCTTTTTTGGCAAACCGTTGTTGTTGTTGCCGAAAGCTCTTTTGAAATAAATTTAAGATCAACTCACGGGCTCTGAGTGCTTTTATTGTCTAAGTGTCGAATAAGAGCCTTACGTTTTCTTTTTGAACGGCTTTTATACAGCTACACTTTCCACTTATAACATGTAATCATCAAAAAATATTTATTTAACTGATTTTTTAGCAGTGACTTGACGTCATGCCTGTATGTCCAGTAATACTGAGCGATATGCAAATTTGAACCTTGGGCATAGTGAAATCCGCGTTTCACGAACGATAATACTCTGTATAGTAGAGAGAGTGCTAGCCGAATAAGGAGACACAATAGTGCAACGGTTAGCACGCGCCTTCGGAAAAGGCAAAGCCTGAGTTCAACTCCCATCTGACGTTCAAAGTTTTGTATGTCATCCAATATAACTGGATGAATTATATGAAAATACGTTACTTGTCCGAGGAATTTTGTCGTTTGATGTGGCGACACATAGAATTTCAACTGAGAATTTTCTTCCACTGACATTTTTTTCTTAACTAAAAGACTCTCATTTGTTTTAACTTCAAGTTCTCTTTCTGGTAGCTGTCCATTTTCTGTCCAAGTTGTTTCCATGGAAACCAAACAGCAAAGTGGTCGTGTTGCAAAATTCTCTCAAAGTAATTTGGATGGAATGAAGAAATCATATCTATAATAATGTTTATAATATGGACTAGTTGCTACTGTGATTCACACTCAATGGTCTATATAACTAGACTAATGTTTACTTGTTGTCTATTCGTCTTTCCCATTCATACTCAATGATTAATCTGTCTCTCCTAGTTCTGAAGGTGTTCGTGGGTGCCAAGCTACGATTTGAAGTAAACATTCATCCTCCACATTCCTAAATAGGTCGCTCAATCCGATAACAAAGTTGTCATTTATTCAAGAAATTTCGCTTGTGTGTAAGTCATTGCAGTAGCAGAGTCCACAGAGTTTTCTTTCTTTCTCACACTGTTAACAAAATCCGTAGAAATATACACGATCTGGATTCGTTCGAGGTTTTGCTGGTTTTCGCTGAGGTCACTGGAGGTCTCCGACTCTGATCAGTCTTTCAGAAACGTGTTGTGCATCATCCTCCTCGAGCTAGTTAAAAATGTATCTACCATATCTTATGCTTGCAATTCATCACGACTGATTCAACTTAGTGTTATTATTTTGCCATTATTTATTTTCTAATGCAGATTTGATGCTCTTGAATGCGAGGAGAGTCGTTTGCGTTAAGTGTGGGATCTGATCAAATCAATTAGACCAGATGTGTTTTGCAGGGCATTCTCTATCCAGTGCGCTTCATTACTGCGCCAATAGTAAGAGCCAATTAAATTACCTAACTGAGATCTAGGGACACGCCTTGTCCGAGTGGTTGTGATGCTGATCGTGGCGCGAGCGCAGCCAAGGTCTACCCCCAACTCTTTCCGGCAGTCAACATCAACGCCCTATAGAACGCCACAGCCGGTCTATCCTCGCGATTCCAAGGAGATTTGCTCAATCAGTACTCTACGACGTTCAAAAAGAAGACGAGAAAACGAACTGAATGCTAGAAATACTGGGATCCGCACAGAAAAAAGTACTAAATTAACTTGAATGTATTCATTTAAAGTACTGAACTGAATTGAGAAGTACTGAATTGAATTAAAGTACTGGTCAATAAAGTGTCTAATGGAAACTCGGATCTAACCATCTTAAGTGAAGAAATTATCTCCTGAATTGATGAGTTTCGTTGCTCATCCTTCTATCTTGATCAAAGCTGTCATCTGTGTTCCTCATCCAGATAAAATGAAGGCGGACAAAGTTTGGGTTTTGTGTGGGAGGATTCTGTACTAGGTGGTTCGTCTTATATGAATTACCATGAATTGTGGAGCTTCACTAAGCGAAAAAATCAATGAGGAATCGAAAAAAAACACCTCAGTTTGCGATCATATGGCATAGAGAGCAATTCGGACGTCGATATAACAAGCATAATTGACTAATCACCTATTAGCCTTCGTGTTTTCAAATACTTACTGCTGTTGCGCATCATCCTTAAAGATGTCATCGATCATATCACTATGTAAGTGCAGTGGACTGTATGCATAGATTTCAATGCATATACTTTCGATTGTTTCTTTTTGTCGCAACTAGTTTATCACTCCTGTGTTCATTGCTTAGCTTATTCTGCTAGATCTGAACTATGCGAACAATGAAAAGTTTTCTTACATTCAATAAATTATGGACAACATTTTTTAAACAAATTTTCTAGTGCGCAGCGGGCGTGGCGAACAAGTGGGCGTAACTATAAGTGATGGCGGAGCCATATTTCAGTGTTCACTTAATCAAATTTTGGATGTGAATCCAAAAATAGCTTTTTAATTGGGGATTTTTGTAAGAAGTTGTATCGCATTCTTCTTGATTATCGTCATCTCTCTCTCTCTCTCTTTCTCTCTCTCTGATTGTCTTCATGACTTTAGAGAAAAGATTCTACCTCACAAAGCATCGTTAGATGAGACTATACGCAAATTTGACCCTTACAACGTCCGCATGTGGCGCAGAAGTTAGAGGCGCTCTGCGTCACACGCGGGGCCAATGGTTCGATATCGCGTTTATGGCTCATCAAGCCATCCATCCCTCCGTGGTCGGTTACCAGACTGGTCTCACGCTTGTCTGAGAGGATAAGCAGCACTGACTCGGTACGGCGGAAGGCCATCTCAAGTTATTGTAAAGGCCAGATATGCATTTAATCACTTCAAACGAAGTTGGAAATTGAAGACGAATGCATGGCGCATCCCTCGGGGATTGAACAACGACGAAAGCTTTATCCTTTATCCTTTGTCCTTTACAATGACTCGCAATGGCCTATTCGACATATCAAAGCAGTGCTGTCATCCTCCAAACACGCCTTGTCCAATTTGCCCTATCGTGCAGGGATGGAAGGCTTTGTGATTCTGGGACGCGAGATCGAACCAAGGATGGCGTCTATGCCGCAGAGCACCTCTTACCACTGGGCCATCGCCCAATGTCTTCAGATTGACAGGTAGAAGACAAATTATAATCAAACTATAACCGTACATATTTAAAAATATCGATCGACTATAATCTATATTTTTTAATACTAATATGATTAATGACCAGATAGTAGAACCGGTTCGTAATCGTTCTTGAAAGTCAATAGTGTTTTGCATCCATAGTTTTATAGAAGATTTGAAAAAGGCTACCTTTTCGAAGCCATGACTTCATTTCGAAAAGTTTTATCCGTTCAATAACAATTTGAATCTCTTTCTAATTGAGATTCGTCAATTGGCAAGCATTCACATCATTCATTTATCCACATTTACAGGTTTTGTGGGAGACAGAAGGAATTTGATTTATGCATTGACACAACAGACTGAAATTAATTAATGTCATAAACTTTTTTTGCACTTTCTTCATCGCAAAGAAAAAAGTATTGATTTGACATTGACATTTTTATGTAAATAACATGAAAATCATCAGAATTAATAAATGTTTGAATTACTCTATTGAAAACGGTTTGCAGATCTCAATTTTGTGCAAAATGTCAAGCGAATTAGTATCCTAAGGCTTTCGTATGATTCGTGTATCCCTGGCGGTCATACTTGATATGTGTCGTCTATATGTACTCAAATTTGTTTATAATATGTAGATCTGGTTGAATTATGATTGGATTTAGAGAGCTAATTCAACCAAAAGAGGATCAAGCAAGTAAACGACTACAAAGTTCCATAGGAGTCTTCCGCAGCTGAGCCTCGTGGGGAAGCCGATAAGCTTTTGCTAGTATACCCAGCCCAAAACTGCAGCGGCCATTCTGCAACTTCTGGATGTTTTCTCGTGCTCATAGCATCTTTATCATGTCTAGTCACGTTACTCTTTAAGTGACATCAGTAGAATAATCAGTCTTTGTGTCGTATGCAAAAGCTTCCCAGATGGCTTCAGGAGCGCAGTTGGCACGACCTTCTTCATGAGAGCTTTCCTTTCCGAATTTCCTGATGGTGAAGTGGCGAGGTAAGTAGTCTGGTTTCCCATAGTATGATCTTACTCTTTAGATGGTCCGCCATGTGAAAATGTCGAATTTCACCCAAGGTAGGTTCTGAATTAGGACCAGATCACCGCTGTACATCGCATTTCGACTCGCACGAACTAAGCGACCTGAACACATTCCCCCAATAATGCGCACAATGTGTGTCACCAGTTTAGCTAGGAATTCCGTCTGTTTAACAATGAAAGCGGAGAGCCTAGTAGCCTGTTGTTGCCCTTTTTATCCATCAAGCATCGAGAGCTTGATGAACACGAGACAAAGCGACAAAATGGAAAAAGTCAGAGCTACCATTAGCTAGCTCATATTTTGTGGCAAACTAACTAGTACGCTTCCCAACTTCACTTTGTCTTTCTTCTTGAAAAAACACTCATAGTTTTTACATTTCGATGAAAAATCATGTCATGGCATTCGCTATCGTCCCTACAACTGTTTGTGGCCACTAATTTTTGGAAATCTACGGACTCATTGTTTCTAATGATTTGAGCAGATGCAGAGTTAGTGGAACTTGTTTCAGAGCACAGTAATCCACAACAGTGTTCGCTGAGAAGATTTCAACACTGTTAGTAGTTAGTCGTAATCCTTAACAGTATCGCTTCAAAGAATGAACATAATCAATGAAAACCAGCTTGAAATACTTGCTGCTTTTTCAAAAAAAACTGATGCGGTGAGCTGCTGCTTTATTTTCCTCCAAGAAACGTTTCTCTCTCTTGGATGTCATAACGTTCAAATTCTCTATAATTTTTCTTTGGAAACCCAATGAATGAGTAAAAACCAACGAATAATTGTAAATTTCTAGATGAAAACCGATATTTTTGTTCTGAATTTGTTATTTTTATTGTTTTTTCGTGCGCGTTTTCAGCAGTAAGTAATCAGATAGCGGTGAAGAAGTTCGATAAAGAAAGAAATCCTTTACGCTCTGATTATTTTTATCAATTTGGTATGTATGCATGACCAAGTGATTTCCGTTAACGAAAATATGGCTATGTGACCATTCGTTCTTTAGTTCTCTGGAGATCAAAAAAAAATCATTTAATAGCGTCCCTAGATGTCTAACTTCTACAAATTTCTTCAACATTCGTCTTCCGTATAATTTGCGAAGAAGTTTGATATTTTAGCCTTGAAGCAGACCAGAGATTTAGTTTGAGCTCTGACAGATTCCACTAAGCTATGGATGGCCAGATTCTTTTCAAAAAAATAAAATCGAGTGAAAGCTTTCGACAAATCCGATGTTCCTCGTGTTCCTGAGAAAGTAGGAATACTCGGCAGCTCTGCTTCAACAGAGAGAAAATCAAAGCTTCATTAATACTTACGCAAATTACAAGCGTATTATTTGC